GCACTGGTGTGTATGTGTGTGGCTTACTCTGTGCACTTAAACAAGTACAATGACTTACCCAAAGGTAGGTTTTTGATTAGGGGACTTTTAGGTCCCAGTGGGAGAGATCTGGGTGTGGGGAGTTGTGAACAAGGGAATGTGTCTGGATGCTCCTTAAAGCACACCCCACAGGCCATTCCTTATTCTACCTTTGGGCCCCACTGGATCACAAGGAGGGGCTGGTGAAATGTACTTACCTGAATACTGTTTGGATTCTCTCCTTCAAAAAATTCAAAACTGTCTGTGGTCAAAATACAACATTGGAAAACAGTTATTTTGGAATCATGGACAAATCTTGGCACGAAAACAATCTCAATAATATTTCATCAAAGAATCACAGCAATTAGGCCAACAGTACACTTCCCCCTTTGCAGTGTATAGATGCCAAGAACAAAGCCGAAAGAAGTGAGATCTCAGGCTGCTGGGGACAGGTCTTAGCTCTTTACTCAGAAATGGGGACAGATGGAGTATGATGTGGCAGAAGGAGCATTGGCCAGGACACCAGAGAAGCAGGTTCTGGAACTAGCTATACTTCCTTGCACAACCACTCAGACTGTGGGGGCTTCTTTGCTCATCTGAAAAACGAGGTTAGGCTATGTACCTACTATGTGCCAGTTTTCTGAACATGTGGGGATTCAGCAGTGAGCAGACAAAAGTCTCTGCTCTTAAAAAGGTAATGATGTCTAGGGCAAGGAGATAAGCCAATAAATAAATAATAAAATATATAATCTGTCAGATGGTATAAGTGCTATGGAGAAGCAGGGAGGTGGGAAAGGGGACTGCGGTGACAGCGAGGTTGCAATTCTAAAGAGGGTGATCAGGGAAGGCTTAGATGACAGTTGAGTAAATATCTAAAGGAGGTGAGGAGTGAGCTATGCAGCTATCTGGGAGAAGAATGTTGCTGGCAGCTTAGCAAGTGCAAAGGCCCTGAGAAAGGAGAATGGTTGGCACTTTGAGTGGAGTGATCAAGGGGGACTGTAAGGAGAGGGGTCAGGAAGCTAATGGGGAGTTGGAGTGGTATCCAGATCATCTAGGGCCTCGCAAGCCTTTGTAAACCAACAAACCAAACTTACTGCCTGCCGTCGAGTTGGACCCGACTCACAGTGACCCCTCCTTGGGTTTCCAAGATGGTATCACTATAGAAATAGATTGCCCAACCTTCTTTCTGAGGAGCAGCTGGTGGGTTTGAACTGCCAGGCTTCTGGTTAGCAGTCAAGTGCCTAAGGCACTACGCCACCAGGGCTCCCAAGCCTTTGTAAGGACTCTAGCTTTTACCTGAGGTGATATGGGAAGTACTTGTTCCTATCAAGATACTTACTTACCTTTAAAAATATATTTTATATTTTTGTTGTTGAGAATATATACACAGGAGAACACACACCAAGTTAACAATTTCTATGTGTATAATTCAGTGACATTGATTATATGCTTGCAGTGGTGCAACCTTTCTCACTTTCTTTTTCTGAGTTCTTCCCCATGACACTGGCCCCTAAGGTTCCTATCTAATCTTTCAAGTTGCTGTTGTCAGTTTGATCCCATAGAGATAGGTCTTAAAAGAGCACAACACTCAAGGGAGACATTCTTTCCTAGTTCAGCTAAAATTATTGTCTGGTTTTAAGAAGACTTCAGGAGATATTTTTGGTTTAAGGTTTAAATGTTATCTCAGGGCAACAGTTTCAGGGGTTCATCTAGCCTCCATGGCTCCAGGAAGTCTGGATTCCATGAGAATTTGAAATTCTGTTGATTATTCAATCCCTTAGAATGTGAGTCCCATGGGGGCAAGGGCTCTGTCTGTTAAATTCATAGCTTTATCCTCAGGACTTACAACAGTGTGCTGCACACAATAAAAGTGCTTATTGAAACTTTGTTGGGTGAACAAATGAATTGGACAGGTGCAATATTACCAATGGACATAGAAATCAAGCATGATTCAGTGCGATGAAGTTGAGGAAAACGATGACACTGGATTTAGGTTCAAGAGATGTGGCATCTATGCTCTGACTCACTACTGTATGGCCTTGAAAAAATCACTTCCTCACCCTGAACCTTAATTTCTTCATCTCTAAAATAAGAGGGTTATACTTGACAGTTTCTTTCCAGCTCTAACAGCCTATGATTTCATAATGCTGGAAACAAAGCAGTGACATACTATGTCACCTTCTGGCTATGGCATATTTGTAGAATTCTGGCATAGTAACTGCTGTTCTACAGTTCATCCTCTAATGACTATTATTTCCTCTCCTAAGTTGAGAGGAGAACATTCTTGAATAACTGCTTGAGTAGGTTGCAGGTTTGAAAGAGGGTAAACTGTGATGTGAGCTTTAAGGCTGCCTTTACAGCAAACATGACACTCCCTTCTTCTAGGTGAGTGCTCTTCACTGTTAGAACCACACTGATCCTTTAGGGGCTTAAATAACTCACCAAAAAGTCAACTTGTGAATATATCAATTGGCCAGTTCTAACAGAGACAACAAAGAAAGTGGGGTCTACCCTAGCCAGATTTGAATGCAAGCAAATAAATTCAAGTTTCATTTTTAGCTTTAAAAGCCTTTTAATATATTTTAGTAGGGCTAAGCTATTTATAGGAGCTCTGGTAGCACAGTGCCTAAGGCACTTGACTGCTAACCAGAAGGCTGGCGGTTCAAACCCACCAGCCACTCCTTGGAAGGAAGGTTGGGTAATATACTTCCATAGAGATACCACCTTGGAAACCCAAGGAGGGGTCGTTATGAGTCGGGGCCAACTCGATGGCACACAACAACAACTACAAAGCTATTTATACAAAGCAAGGAAAAACTCTTAAAGGGATGATTCAGTCCTTTAATCATCCTTTAGCATGAGTTCTGGTCCACATATAAACTATTGTTGTGATAAACTATTATTTCCTGGATATTTTCCATAGGAGCATGGAAATGGAAACTTGTAATATCACACCATATACTCTACACCAGAATCATTAATGAAATCTTACTAGTGATTCAGACAAAGCAAACTACTTGGATCATGTTAACATCTGACTGGCCCACTACTCCTCTCAAAGTAGATCAACCTCATGTCAAACCTGTCAGGTTTGATGGCAGGAAAATTCATCAAGGCAGTGCATAGTCTCCTTTGAAATACTATCTAATTTAAATAAAGAAAAAAATCAAACCTGTTATATTTACACTTGAATCTTGGGTACGGTTGTCCTCCTCATCACTAAAAACAAAAGGAAAAGGACATTTCATTTAATAAATGAAGGAAATACTGGTTAAGCAAAAGAACAATTTGTCAAAGTCACATAAAAGCAAACCTGGGATGGTATGTCTTTGAGTTCTCAAATCAAATGAAGATGATTGCTAGAATGACTTTTATTTGGTCTTACATGTGCCCTCTTCTCTCGGCCATTGATAGAAATAATTGAAAGTTTCCTGCATTACTAATTATGTCTGTTGAAACAATCATGGGCCAGGAGGAAGATGTCCCAAATGGCATCAGGTCAAAAAGAAACATTAATTTAGGAGTGCCAATTGGAAAAGAATATAGTTACAACCAGGTAGATTTTTCTCCTTATACCCAGTCCAATTTGTGAATCTTCCTATGAACTTAAGAATAATTTTAGATACAGACACACAGTTGAATATTTAGGTACTTAAGGGAAATAAGCAGGAATCCCAATGGGTGGGCCATTAGTGTAGGGACAACTGTGGACCCAGTGTCCCAGGTTCAAGCCCCTACTACATTAGCAAAAATTAACTATACTAACTGTCTCAGGAGAAGAACACAGAGGCCAGATAAATAAGAATGGGAGAGAAGATGAGAAGTAACCACACTGGGGAGCTAGGGGAGAAAATGAGGGGAGGTTAAGGAGCTGAACACTGGTTATTTCTTAGCCAACTTGTATTGTTTTAACCGAATATACCTAGAAACTGAAGTCAGATCCTCTTCATTGTATGAGGATGAACTCATAACCTTGTGTATGAAGTATTGAATCTTTTCAGATTGTCTTTCTTTTCCCTGGAAAAGGACAGGTCAGGTGTCACACACAGGAGAGCTTGAAATAAATATGTAACATTTCCTGATTATCTATATTAGTGGCATTTATGACCACGCTGCCCAGGAAAATTGTCCTGCAAACTGTTTGATCATGAGACCACAGCTTCCCAATAAGTAGAATGGAGTTAGTGTTAAGGCCGTGGACCCGGTAAGCTGTTGAACTAACCAGACCTGTACCTCTATTTTGCTTTTTTTAGTTCACTGCAGCTTCTGGGCTAACCTAGGAATCAGTACAACTGGATGATGCTCCAGGGAACAGTCTCACCAGAAAAATCCTAAATCATGTGTATTCTTCAAACACATGGTTTGGCAGAGTTTTGGGGGTAGGGCCAACCCAAGAGGTCACTGAGCTACAGATCGTCACTAGAGGGATATAGAACCTGAGCTATGTGTCAATTGATATTGGGGTTTGTGGGCCGAATGAGGGAGGTATATTCAACCTATCTGATGAACTTCTATGCTTGGACAAGTCAGCTAACTAAAGTTTAAGAAAAAAGTCAGCTAAGTAACTCCCAAGGTCAGAGCCAGAATTTGAACCCAGCTAGTCTGAATTTGCATGAACCTTTTTCCTCCCCTCCAGCCCATTTTCTCTCTCTGACCACTTGCTCGGGATTTCCTTGCACAAAACTTTCATTGAGTACTTACCAGCCAGAGCACAAAAAAGTGAGGACTCTATCATTTTAAATAATTAGCTTGTTTTCATTTTCTGTTTTTCTTGTGCTTCTAACTAACCTAGGGCTCTTTCTATTATCTTTTTTCCTTGATTGAGGCTCCAGGCTTCATCTGCTAATCATTTCCCTTATATTATAATTTTCACTAGAGTTGAGACAGACTGCTTGGATCTTACCCTTTCCTTCCTAATCAAAGCACTGTTCATCACTAGGACTAAGCTTGTCAAGTTTTCTACTCTTTCCATAGAAATCTGGTCACTGACAGTCACATTTCTCACTTACGCTAAGCTGTGTGCCTCTCTCCCAAGAACAGTCTGTATCCGTGGATGACTGTGAGGTGGTCACGTCCATGCCAGAAGGAATACTTTCCATTTGTGTTTCCTCAGATTCTGTCAACTGAGGTGAATGTGTCTTAACATTTTTGGGAGCTAGACTGGATTTGGGGTGAAAATATTTGCTGAACAACACCCTTTTTTTCAGACTACTCATGCTTGTCATGGAATTGGGAGAAGCCACTGTTCTGGCCACTGGCTTTGTGTCTTCTTTTACTTGATCTTCAGCTAAATTTTCAAATTCTTCTTCTTTTACAGCTTCTTGTAAAACAACCTCGTTGTCATAAGAAATTAGATCCTCTTCGATATTCTTTCCTGAGTTTTCACGGTCAATATCATGAGTTACCAATTGAATGATAAGGTCTTTTTTGTCACGGACATCTTTTAAAAGAGCCACTCTAGTAATGTCAGGCTTTCTTAAATTCAGAAAGGAATTCCTCCTGGCTAACTGTAATTGAAGAGACAATAAATATTAAAAACAACTGTCTCAGTTATTTTTTTTCCTGAAGTTCTATTTTAATAAGGTAATTTTCATATGGGTTTAGGTACCAGTTTCAAGTTGTAAAATAATTTGTCTTCAAATGCCATTTACATATATATATATATATTTGAAGAAATGAACAAAAATCACAAGGAATGCTTGTTCATTTCTATTTTGCATCAGAAATCATAGTACACCAATGCAAAGTAGGGGGCCCAACTAGATTCTTCCTTTTGCTTCACATTTTACTTTTTACTTGCCAAGAAATAGAAAGTGCATAAAGTCTTTAATTACATTCTGTTTTCATCATTTACATTGAAATGGTTGTAAAAGACTTATACATGATAGAGTTTTTCTCTACTCCTTAGTAGGGAACTAATCATAGAACAATCTAAGTACAGATATTTTCATGGAAAAAAAAAAAAGACAAGGTACTGGCTGATTTTAAAAATAAAATGTAAACGATGAATAACAGCCAACACTGTGAAGGCCTTTCAATCTTCACTCCTCATCTCCTTCTCTCCCCCTGGTTCTCTGAATATCTTTTCCAAAAGAAGCTTCAAAGAGTCCATCTCCATTTCTCCTCCCCTCCCTGTCCACTGTCACTTTCCATTTTGCAGTGTTAAAGACAGCTCAAGGAAAAGACAGTTATAATTAAATAAATGACTTTTCCCATTTCTAGAGCCTTTGATCATGACACAGAAAATGAATTTATCAATCTTAGACCGCAACATCCCTTTGTAACACTGCAAACCAGCTTTTCAGATAACGGCTGCCCTAAAGGGCAAATATCTTCTGTGCAAAGCAAAATAAAAGAACTTCTGTAAGAAAGAGAAACAATCAATTTTGATTATCTGTGCTGATGGAGGGGAACAGTGCTTCAAAAAACATCCCAAATCGTTTGATATGGCTTTGGGATTTTTCACTGTATGAGCTATTAATATGCATACTTCTGGTGTGATGGGCATTTTTGGACCTCAAAACAGTGAACAGATTTCCTATTTCTGGATTCTTGCCTGAGGAAAAATCTGTAAGAAACGAGTAAAATCTAAGCGCTTGCTGTCTAATATTTGTTGATGAACATTGCTAAGTAAAACTAATACTACCAAGGAGCCTTAAGTTGGAGGATTTTAATCTCTAGTAGAGATTTCATCTGGTTTATCAGATATTCTATTAACTGGCCCTTTTGCACCCATATGTTGTTGTTATCAGTTGCTGACTCACAGGCGACCCTGTGTGTGCAGAGTGGAACTCCACTCCACAGGGTTGTCAAGGCTGTGAGTTATCACAAGCAGATTGCCAGACCTGTCTCCTGAGGCACCTCTGGGTGGGTTCAAACTGCCAACCTTTCAGTTAGTAGTTCAGCACATAACCATCGGCAGCACTTGGGGACTCCACTTGCACCCCTACAGTACTGTGAGAATGTACAGCCATAAAATAACTATGGCACTAGTAATACTGCATTTCTTCTGAACTGCCCAATAAGGACTATAGTGCCAAGCAGTCTGGTTTGCTGTTAAGGACACTTCCCTGTATTCTTTAAGAAATGGCAGTTGAGTCTGACTGGCTGATGAAAACGAGGCTGATGTCTTTCCACTGAGCCACAGAGCTTATGTGGTAAACCTTGGGAAAGCAGGGGTACTGGATGAAACAAAAGATCCAATTCTCCTACTAGGCCGGGCAAGAGAACATTGGCCAGATTTTACAAATGCATTCCTGTGGACCTACCTGAGGCGGGAAATCACTGAAGAACAACCCTGTCTCACTAGCCCCTCATTTCTTTCCACCACTGCCTTTTGCACTTACCTCAAAGGGTTTTATGTCCAGCCGTCCACTCTGATCCAATGAGACACACCCTTCTTTCTTTCTCTGGCCCGGATCAGGTATGTCTACTCTGTAGCTACTCCCACTGATTGCAGCTTTTCTCAGTTCTAAGTTATGTTCAGTTCTTTCTAAACACTCCACTTTCAGTTTCCCAAGAGGTTGTGTTTTAATGGAAACGACTCCTAGGTGTTCTCCAACAATGTCTGGGCTGACATGGATGGGCTGTTTCCCATGGCAAAGAAGTATATCCGTTGCTGCGGGAAACGTAGCTAAATCCTGATGTAACTTTTCTTCTTCTTGTGCAGGCTCTGTTTTGTCAGCATGCTCATGTATCTTTTCAACAATCCTGTCCACATCTAGATTACCAAAGAGATCAGCGCTAGAATCTTTTGAGCTAATTGTTTCTAAAGGACAATTTGACACTTTACTAATAATTAAAGAAGCCACTTGTTTCGGAAAGAATCTGTTTGCACCTCTTATATCATGGTACAGGTCCTCATGTGTACCACATTGCTGTAGCACATGATTGTAAACTGAATCAACTACCCAAGAAATCAGTTCTATACTTTCTTGGTTTAGATGGGACTCTTCAGGATTACTAGCTACAACACTAATGTTATTTTTGAAAATTTCAGCCATCACGGATTTTGTCAGTTGAGATGCAATTTTGTTTAACTCAGGCTTTGATAATTTGTTAGCATTTTGGTTGGAGGCACATGGCCATTTCATTAGTTTAGCCAAGAACAAGGCCAATGTTTCTTCTAAAAATATGACATCTAATGCAGAACATTTTCCGGATAAAGGCTTTTCCTGTGACTTCAGGTCATTGATAATTTTAATCACTTTGTCCATAATTGCGACAGCTTCCAGAACTAATTCTGAATTGGAGGCTTCTTCCTCCATTTGTGGTTGCAATTCTGAGTTGGAGATCTCCTTCACCATTAAAAACCCAATTATATCAGAGAGGACGCTACTCTGACCCATTAAATCTTTATACATGGAAGTATGTGAACCAGAGTGCTTTAAAACACTGTTGTACACAGAAGTAACTACTTTTTCAATAGTTGTGCTGTCTGTCAAAGATATGGTGCTATCTTCCTTAGCCTGTGGTACCACCTTAATATGACTTTTGGAGATATATTCTTGAAGTGAACTTAGAATTTTTGTGGTTATTTTTTGCATTTCAGCATTTCGAGAACTGTTTTGTTCCTTGTTCACCTTAGGAAACATAGATAAAAGCTTCAATAAAAAATTGACGGCAATTTCTTCTATGATGTTAAAAGGCAGTTTTAACTGGGGCTGGACAATCTTAAGGCTTTGGATGACATTTTGAAGTGTGTTTTCAACTACATAGTCTACCGCAGCACACTGATTTGGGGACAGCCCTCCAGAAAAATAGTCTTGCAATTGATTTCCAGCCACTTCTCGTAAAACTAAAGTAACGATGGTTTCAGAAAGGATTCTGCAACCATTGATGACACAGTGTTGTATGATCTCCTGTGATCCAAATTGTGGGAGAAGATTATTATAAATAGTCTGAACCACTAATGGAGTAAGTTCATCATCATTAGGATTTAAGGATTCTACATACTGTATGGTCACATCTTCATCTTTGGAAATTTGCAACATGACTGTACTTACTAACTTCGTTTGAAGGAAATCCAGTTCTGTGCAAAAACTGTCCTCAGCTATTTCTGTTTTAGTGTTGGCTACTACTGTTGAGAAAATTTTTGTTAGAAGAGAAGAAATTATATTCTCTAAAAATTCATGAGGCAGCATTATGGTATATGGAGATGATGTCTGACATTCTTTGCATGCTGTTTGGGTCATCTTTTGGAGCTTTTTAATAACTTCCTTTGATTCTAGAGGCAACTGTAATGAAGACGGAGCCTTACCACCAACTAAAAAGTGTAGCTGGTGTTGAAAAATCTCTTGCATTACTGCACTAGCTAGCCTTCTTGCTAAATTGTCACCGTTACTATTTATGTCCTTACAAATGGACTCTTGAGACCTGTATTCCTGCAAAATACTGCATAGAGAGGAGTGAACAACCTTATTGACCAATATCTTGTCAACTGATGGTTTATTAGCCATAAGAGGTACTTCATCTGAAGGTATGTTAGTTACTGAGGCCATATTATGCATGGGTGGTGTTTTATCCATAGGAATTACTGTTATCATGGGTGGTGTTTTATCTGCAGATGGTTCTTTTTGCCCGAGAGGTACTTTACGAAGTGGTAACATTTTAGCTCCTTTTCTCATCTGCTCATTCCCCTGATCTGGACTCAATACCTTAATTTGAGCATCTGAAAATGCTTTTAACAGGGCATCCATCAGTTTCATAGCCATGTCACAGAGCTCAGCTGGATTTACATCATTGGTTACATCTTGATAGTCATCGTGTGTATCTGGCAAGGAAGAAAATACTAATTTGTTAACTAATTCGGCTATAATATCTTCCAAAAATCCAGCAGGCAAAACCCCAGGTTTCTTTTCTGGTGGGTTCTGTGGACTATCTGGTTGACCAAGTTTACTTTGGATTTCTTTATTGTTACTTTTCTCTTTCCCTTCCTCATTTGGAGGAACTTCATCTTCATTAGAAGCTGAGGGGGCTGAATTCTTCGTTGAAGCAAAATTCTTGCCATGCACCTGAGTTACATATGACACTTTGTCACCTAGAGGATGTTGCAATTTTGAATCATCAGCTGGTCTGTGAAGAGAAGACATTTCAAAAATATTGCTGTAAAGGTTTTTAGTGACAGTTTGGACAAGTTCAGGGTTCCAGATTTGTTTGCCCTCTGTAACTCTGCAAACTGGAGAGTCTTTTCTGTCTCGAATCTCTCTTTTTCTTCCCACGGACTTCCAAGGAAGTATTTCAAGGGGTTCATCCCCTTTTTCTAATATACTTTTTCTAGTATCATCACCTTGCTTTTTATCACCTATTTTAAAATCTGGTTCCAGGACAACCTTCTTGTTTTTTCTATTGTCAGGGGCTTCTGAAAAATGGTTATATACCCTTTCACTGGGCCCTTCCTCATTCTTTGCAAGTGGTGCGTCCAAATAAGGCCCCTGAATATCCATATCCTTACTCTTCACACTGGTAGTTGGAAAAGTAAGTTCTGATACCTTCTCATTGTCTTTTCTAATCGTACATTCCTTTTTCGTCTTATCCCCTTTCTTTTTATTTGCCACACTTTGAGCTGAACTGGCTGCTAGGGGAATTACTTTGCTTTTCATAATGCCAGTTCCAGCAGTATATACTGGCTTGTGGATACTGCCCACTTCCTTTGATGTCTCCTCCTTTTTGAAATTCTCTTTTGTATTACTTGTACCTCTACCTCTTGGCAAAGTATCAGTCTTATTTCTCAGGCCTGATGTTAGGAGAGTCAATCTAGACAACTGTTCTACTTGAGCAAGCGAGTTCCCCACTGAGTTTCTGTCATTCTTTGTCGAGGTTTTATATGGTAGATGTTGAATCTTTTGGATGATGCTATCCGCATCTATAGATGAAAAGAATGTAGAAGACCAATCGCCGGAAAAGAGCGGTTGAATTTTGAATGCGGAGATGGCTTTCTTAGTTAAAGCAGCAATCACCTCTATAACTATGTTACTGCTGTCATCTTTCTGGACATTATTCAATCTATATACTTCCATGACTTCTTCATATACAGAACTGGATACTTTATCAACAGTGTCTTTATCTATTGGTGGAAAATAATATATTTCTTCTGCATTTTCTAGAACTTTAATTTTACTTCTCCTAAACTCCCCTATCAGGGCATTTGCAAATTTTATAGCCATGCCCATGAGGTCTCCCTCCGATATTTCTTTGTCTTTCTTAGGATCTTTAGGACTACTTGGGAGAGTATAAAATTTGTGAACTAGGTCAATTATAATATCTTCTAAAAATGTTGCAGAATACACAGAGCACTGTGGGGAAGGCAGTGTTTTTTCTTTACCAGGATCACAGAGTTCACCAACGCGGTCCTTTCCAGGTAAGTTGCTGGCAGATGATTCTTCATTATGTAAAAACGGCTTCAGATGATAATCCATAATTTCCTCCATAATGAAACCTGCTATTCTCCTGATAAACGAGCCATCCTGTTTGCTTGCATCTTTCTGTGCTTTGGCTTGTAACTTAAACTTCCTCATGATATTGTTACACATGGAGTCAATAAAGTTCTCAGTTACTCCTAACTGGGTAATTTCTGCTTGCTCCTCTGCTGTGGCAAGTCGAATCTCATGTTGAGAAATTTCTGACATAATTTCATCAGCTAGTTTTGAAGCTGCATCCACAAATTCATAATCTGGTGATTCTTCTTCCCCTTTTAGTTTGGTTTCAGTTGAAGGTAAAGGGGATATATATGTTAGAAGCTTATAAACTATGTCTTCTAAAATGGAATGATGCAATACAGTTGTGCATGATGGTAGGATGTGGCCACTATCATTGATGGTACTGAGCACATTTCTGATGATGTTCTCCTCCCGCAGGGGAGAGTAAGAAGTTGCTAATTCTCCTGAAACTAATGACTCCACCTGATAATCATAAATTTCTCCTAAGAGCAAATAATATATTTTTCTTCCAAAACTGACAGCATCACTTTGGATAGCCTTATAAACATGAATTAGAGATTTATAATCATCTAATATTTTTTCATAAATTAAGGTGACGGTTTTTTGTACCATTTCTTTATATCTTTCTGAAGAATACAGATTTTCATCCAAGTTATCTGCAACTGAAATTTCCGATGTGGAGAACTCCAACACAATTGATTTTACCAAGGTTGTAACAATGTCAGTTGTGCTGACTTTGGCTTTGTATGAATTTTCGGCAGCTAAAACATTATGTGAGAAGGCATAAAGGATTTTGCATAAAAGTTCAGAAATAACTTCCTCCAAAAAGGCAGCTGAATTCACAATGAAAGTCAATTCTTTTTGCTTAGGATCTCTGGGTCTCTGTTTGTAAGTTTGTTCAACTGGGCCTGAAGGAAGAGTTCTATCGTCAGATAAAAATGACTGAAGATGATGGTTAAAGATTTGTTTTATTACATGACTCGCTATTTTTGTAACAGATACATCATTGACACCTTTTTTATCTTTTGCGAGAGACTGGTATACATTCGAAGAAGAAAGGTCAATGAAGATAGCATCAACTATATCCTGGAGCTCTTTTTCTGAAATCACATTTTGTTTTCCATTTCCATGTGTAGTAATACATATCGCATGTTTGGAAATTACTGACATGGTTTCATCGATCAGTCTCAGGACTGTGTTACTTAAATAGGGTTGTGAAGGGCCTGGGTCTTCTGTACTATACTCTACTGGACTTATCTGCGATAAAATCTGAGTGACTATTTTTTCCAAATAACTATGGGATAATATAGTGGTGTAGATGGTGGAAGCTTGTCTTTGGAGTTTTGCCTTACTAATATCATATTGAGCTCTCTTTATTAAAACTTCAGCATTGAGTTTTGAATATAATTTAAAAGACAGCTTTGCGAGGAAATGTGGATGAATTTGGAAATCAAGCGTTTCAGCCAGTATAATTTTAGTTATCCTCTTAGCCAATGTCTTTGTGTCATGGAGAAAATCATTATCGGATTCCATTGCATATTCTTGTAAAACTCTGCTATACACGATTCCAATCGTTTTCATGACTACATCTCTATCCACAGGTGGCAAACACAATTGTTCCTTAGCATTTTCTAGGATGCTAACTTGGCCTTTGGAGAATTCTTCTGTTATCAAATATATGAGTTTCTCAGCTGTTTCTAGCAGTTCTTTTTCTGACTCTCTTACTGATTTTGTTTGTACAATGCCTATCACCCGGTGGAAAATTTTGCTTAAAACTCCAGAGACCACATCTTCCAAAAAGATTGAGGAATAAATACCAACAAAAAACTGCTTCCTTTGTGCACCATCAAAGTAGGGATAGGATGAAGGCAAGAATGACTTTCCATATACAAATGGACTAAGATGTTGTTCACAGATATTTTTAATGATGAAGCCGGCTATTCTATCAATCAGAACATTGTTACTGTTTATGAGATGAGGCTCCACTGCTTCTTGAGATTCGGAGTTTTTCAAAATATTTCTGAATACTGAATCAATGAGATGCTGAGCATCATCCTCTGAATAAGCAAACGTGCTTACTTCGTCATCTTTTGCAAATCGAATTTCATGTTGGTAAATTTTCATCCTAATATCACTGATTAGCTGTGAAGAGATTTCATTGAAATTAACTTCTACTCTGGTTGTTGGGGTTTCCCTGTACGGAACCCTGTTGTGTGCTGGAGGAAAAATTCTAGATAACAGCATTCTGATTATGTCTTCGAAAAATGTGTATGGCAGCAATGTGTTATACGGGAATAAGTGGTTGCTTGGTTTCGTAGATTTACTGAAGCCACCAAGGATGTTTTGAACAATGTTCTCTGCGGTTAAAGTACAATAACAATAAGCAGACAAATCCCCAGAAAACAGTGGATGCAAAAGGTAGTTGGAAATTGATGCTACAAGTGAGTTGGTAATACTTTCCACAAAGATATCACTGCCTTTGAGTTCTTTGTTATCAGTACCAGGGGCCAGCCCATGCTGTTTCAGAATATCCCTATAAACTGACTTGACGAGTTCATCCATCGTATCTGTATCTAATATGGATAAAGTTGGCTCTTTGTCATCACAAAGAAGGCAGATTTTAGCTTTGTTGAAATGGTTATTTATTGAGTTGACAATTTTTTGAGTAATCTTTTCAAGCTCAAGCTCAGTGTTACATTGTGGACTGAAGATCTTTGTTATAAGCTTGGCAGTGACTTCTTCTACAAATGCCTTAGGGTAAATGCCCATATTTAGTGATAATGGCTTCTGGGATCTATGTGATTTTGTGGCTTCAGTGAGAACTCCTCTAACCATACATGATATCTCATCCATTGGAGTCCTTGGACGAGGGATGCACTCTCCACACAAAAAGGGTTGAAGATGATTTTCAATAACCACTTGAATAATAAGACTGGCCATTCGGTCAACCATAATTGGGCTTTGGCTTACTAGACTTTTCTGTATTGACACAAGAGAGCCAGATACTTGCAAAATATTACTATAAACAGACTCCGCCACTTTATGTAGGTCTTCTTCCATATATAGATAGTGATGATCAGATTTAGTGAGCCAAATCTTATGTTTTGAAATGGCTAACATAACCTTTTTTATTATACAGGTGGATATCTCATTAAAATCTGAAATGTTGAAATACTTCTTTCTTAGGCATGAGGCCTTGCTGGGTAGAGGAAAGAGCTGAGATAATAACCTTCTGATGACATCTTCTAAAAATGAGTGTGATAGTATGGTGGTATAGCCTATCGAAAGCTGAGCTGGGTAATTAAGTTCTCTCAGGCTATTTTGAAGTTTGTGCAGTATGTTTTTGGCTTTGAGAGGGTAATACGAATTGGGCATAAGCTTTCCTACAAAACACAATGGGAGTTCATAGTCTAAAATTTCTATCAATATGCCATTAGTTATTTGTTCAGCTACTGAGGTGACAACATGTGCCAGATTATCACCACAAGTCTCTTGCAATTCATATTTCCGTAAAACATCATTATAAACTGAGTGAACAATATTACTAACAGTTTCTTTATAAACTGGTGGAAAACAGACCTTCTCTTCAGCATCCCGTAAAACAGTAACTTGAGCATTATTAAACTCATTCACCACGGAGTTGACCCCTAATATATTCATCTCATGGAGCTGTGCTTCGGTGATGTTTTCATTTTTGCTCCACAACGAGGTACAGAGGTGTAGAAAAATGTCTGAAATTATTTCCTCCAAAAATGTGGCAGGGTAAACCCCTGTGCTCATGCCACCCAGATGTAGCACGTTATGAATGGCTGTGGCATTCATCTTCTTTTTTCCTGGTCTTTGAATAGGTGGTAAAGAAGATTTTACTATAAATGGCTCATCAAATGGGGATTTTATTTCGGAATCAGTCACCTGCAGATTATTCACTACCCTTGTCAAAGGCTTGCTGTCATGGCTTATGAATCTTATGGAGTCTTTACCCTGTCTTGATTCTCTAAATTCTGGCATTTTTGGCCTTGGGAAACTAGAAAGTCTCTCTTTTGTTCTATACTTTAAATGCCTGCTAGCATAAGGTGGACTTCTGGAGGGTTGCTGTATACTGTGCGACAGTTTTTCCATTACAGATTTTACCATGCTATGGGAAATAATACTAAGCATGGATTCTTGATCTGTTTCTGCTAGATCTTCCAACAGGTCTGAAATGTCATATTTTGTAGTTTCCCTACAATAACCAAATTCTTCATCCTCTTCATTTTGAAGTTTGTTGAACAGCTGATATTCTTCTGCTGGGATTTCATCTGATAAAGGGCCATTTATAAGGAAGTTGTTGGTTGTGCATTCTTCCAAAAGTACGTGAATAAGTTTCTCACATACAACATTCAGCAGAAAAACAGATTTTGGGGAAAGCCCTAGGTTATTTCCAGGTATGTGGCCACTTTGCTGGTTATTTGAGGGTGGGAACATATTTCTTGGTGTTTTACCAGAATCCATATCCCAATCTGGGCATTCACCTGGCGAAAACAAATCTAAAACAATATTAAAAATTTTATCGACTACTTCTTTGGATTCACGAGATTTTAGGCTACCAACTAGACTCCCTAACTTACATGCCAGATAATTTAATTGATTTTCCCGTAGGACATGCTTCACTTGGTGAGTAGAAGCAGGTCTGCAATCTCTGAGGCCTGTCTGTCTTTTCACAGTTTTGGTTTGGCTGCACACCGGCAAACTAGGGCTTCTAAGCACAGAAAATGATTCGTTTCTTCCTTTGCTGTCAGGCTGATGATTTATTCCTATTTCTTTGGACAGAACATGAGTCACTCCAATTAAGAGATCCTGAAAGAGGTCATCGATATCAACTACATCTTCTCTTGGGCAGTAAATATATTTTGTCTTCACAGAAACCATTTCTTGTGTACTGTCTGCCTGTAAGATGTCACTATTAAAAAGGATGCGAATAATGATTTCTGAAATGTTTAAAGCAATTTCACTGATAGGAATTGGCTGGCTCTCACCCATTAAGGAATGAACTAAAATAACTTTGCTAGACGTGGCATCTTGGTTGTCCAGTGCTTTCTGTTTTACTCCAGCCTCTTTGGTGCAATCAGAAATGCATGAAATTATATGGGAAAGAACCAATTTAGTGAGATGTTCACAAAATTGATTAAGTGAAGAGTCACTGTGTGCGCTTCTTAGAGGCTGTTTTGATTCATATTTTTCCCTTGACAATGTAGAAATAGGTACTTTTTCATCATGAGGACCTTAAAACAGAAAACATTCCTAATTTTAACATGTATTAAAGACAAATACTGAGCATTCAAAATATCAGCAATAGAAAAACCTAGTCAAGAAAGGAACTGGGTTTTCTTCAAATCTGTACTTTCTATCCTCTGGAATCTTTACTTCAGCCAGAAAGTTAAGAAAACAGCACAGCAGAATCCAAATCTGTAAGTTAAGTGCTGCTTTCTTCCTTGGATGGCTGTGTTGCTCCAAGAAGCTAGAAGTTCTGGAGCAGAGAAACTATTTCTAGCTTTAGTATTGCAATATCCTAATATGACTCTAGTGATGTGATGTAATTGACACTTTCTTCTGCTGTTGGGCTAATTATCCAGTTTGGGGCTTTATAATATATATTAGGTTGAACCAAATAAAACTGCTGATGTTCAACAGCTTTAATATACAAAAATGGCTGTTTCAAATGGTTCGACCCAATATATGTATGTAAGCATTTGAAGAAAGGGAGTGCAAATATCATCTTTGTAAGCATGGATTACACCTAAAAAATTTTAAGTCAGAACACTAATGGGGACAGACCCTAAAGTTTAGTGTCACTGTTCTTATAAACTCTGTCAGTAATGATGGCAAAGACTTCGCTTGTGTACCTCAGAAAGAAATTGGATCATTATTCTGCTGTTAATTAATTGGACTTGAGGTGTGAGTGTAATGTAAGATGTCTTTTGGCAAGAACTTAAAATCTCTATTTTTGTCGTTGTTATGTGCCGTCGAGTCGGACCTGACACATAGTGACCCCTTCTTGGGTTTCCGAGGAGGTATCACTACAGAAGTAGACTGCCCAATCTTCCTTCCGATGAGTGGCTGGTGGGTTTGAACCACCAGCCTTCTGGCTAGCAGTCAAGTGCTTTAGGCACTATGCTACCAGAGCTCTTTAAAATCTCTTTGGAACTGCTTTTTGGGGACTGCCTTTGGAGCAATGCATGTACCATCCAAGAAGACTGGTTTCACAATTTCATAATTATCTCTCATGCCCAACCCAAACCTCCTGCTTTAAATTATGTCTATTTAATCTCATCTGTATGTAAGGAAAACTGAGCAACACCCCTTCACATAAAAATTATGCAAACGCCTAACATTTTTGCTTTTAGCATATTGACCAGCTGAAAAACATGTAAGCAGATAAAGTCACCCTGAATCCAAGACTATTTTCAGAGAAACAGTGAATGCAACTTCTTGGACATGAGAGTGAAAAACAAATCTCTTACAATTACCATTTACTATTTGTTTTCTAAAATTATGCCAATTCTTCACAAGTAAGTTATTTTTCACTCACCTCTGTTTTCCAAGTTCTTGAAGTGCTTGACCACGGATGCAGTAACGTATGTTGCTATTAGATGGGTTTCATTTGGGCCCAGGTCCTGACTGGCAAAGGCAATTACTTTGGCCTCTTCAAGAGCTTCTATTTTCCCTGTCTTTGGGGACTTTTTACTTTTCCACTTGTCCAGTAAAGGGAAATCTTTCCCGCTGGCTTCAGGGCTTTTGGTTTTTTCCTCAGTTTTATAGTTGATTCTTTTCCCTCGTATTTTTGACAAGCTTTTTTCCTCATCCTTTTGTTCTGCAGACAAAGGAGTCTCTTTTGATGCAAAAAATGGCTTAATAGTTTCCACACTTTCATTAATGTGTGGCAGTTGACCTGGAAAGCCATAACTCAACAACATGGTATTAACAATATTTTCGGCAGCTAAGCATATTTTGAGCATAGAAACAGTTGTCTGCCTTTGGTTTACTCTAACAGCTGATTTGGGGGACTCACAGTAAAGTACTCCTTGATCTTCACTTTCTCCTATTTCCACAGAGGACATGGATTGTGTTACCATTACTTCAGCAGAGTGACTGGATTTCTTAGGTGGTTTTTGCAAGATACTGTCTTCAGGCAGAAAGCTATTTCCTTTCATGGTTTGATTAAATTGACCGAGGTCATGGATTTCATTTCTAGAACATGATGGATTAAGTTCTGATTCAAGCTTTCCCATTGGCTCTGGGGTTTTAATAGTATACCCTACAGAGTCCCTCAGGGGTACTGCAGGTAGATTTGTGGAAGCCCTGTCCTCTTGTTTCATACCTTCTTCTGAGTAAAACACCAAGTTAGGAACTTTGATTTGTGAAGGATCATCCTCACAGCTAACTCCCTTTAACACTGAAGTGGTTGATTCCTCTCCAGGCGCCGGTTCAGCCCAATTAACAGAGTAGGCATTTTCAGTTCCTGTGGTAAGATTTTCCTTTGGATGGTTTTTGATCATTGATTCATAGAAATGACTACACTGGTCCATTAGCATGCTGACAATCTCACTTGCTACTATATTTTCTTCAAATACACTAACCGAAGATGATTCCACTTGGTGTATTTCTCTGTCTAGCTTGTTCTTAATTATACCAAGCATGTCAGTAACAGTATTAGCCGTGTACGTGAGCAGTTCTGATTGGAATGAATGTAGCTGTCGAAGGGCGTTCTGTATGTTTTCCTGGGAAATCATACTACTTGATTTAGATTCATCAAGAAACTTACTTTGTGGCTGTAATTCTGGCAATATCGTTTTCATTAATGGTTTCTGCAGGGATGGAAATAAGTTTTTGACAGGTATCTTCACAATTTCAGAAAAAGCATGAAGGGAAATACTTTCAAATTGTAGGTCTACGAAAGACTCCAAACTGTGTAGAACTTCTTCGATGATATCTTGAGCAATTCGATTGCCTGAATCCTCTGCAGTTTTGTCTTCCGACTTCGTGTCATACATTGGTACGTTGTTAAGGTGGTTTGTTCTTGAGGAACCATACTTACTTCCAGTAGTAGTTTCTTGCTTGCTTACTAGAGTTTCTTTACTATCAGTTAGCAGCAGGTGTGTCAAGAAGCACTGCTCTAATTTTTCAAATAGGATTTCAACAATTTCTCTGCTAAATACATTAATTTGGGCTTGGGCATCTTCAACTTTAGAAGAAGCTCTTTTGATATCATGGTCCCTGATTTCACAAGCCTCAAGAGGTGACAGATTTAAAAGTGAAACAGACTCTTCTAATTCTTTTGTTTTTATTAAAATTTTAGTCAAAACAGTCTCGGCTATCATCAATAGTTTGGATGTCTCATTTTCCATGGCATAGGATTCTGTTTGCCATTTATCAAACATTTGTTTAAAAGTGTCTTCTTTAGAAAAAAAATTTTCTACCTGTGAAGAAACATTCTCCAATGAAAACTGTTCTGGACTGGTGAAAGAGATTACACTTAAATTCTTCTGGGCAAGTTTGAGATCATCTGGCCGTGAGCATTTCATCAGATGAGCCAAGTTGTTGTTCTTGACAGCACATAATCCTTGAAAAACTGCATTAACGATTTCACTCGCTGTCCTGATTTGATCGGAAGGGAACTCGTTTACATTTATCTCTGATTTATTTTGCCTTACTGTTTGCAATTCTTTCATAATTGCTTCCAGAATATCACTTACTATATCCTTGGCATACACTTTGAGTTCTGCAGTGGGCAGTTTTGTTCCCACTAAGTTTTTAGAATCTCTGGTTGAAGGCACCTGCTGCAGCCCAAGGGCAATCTTGGACCGGATGCTTCTTGGAGTCTTTTCTCCAGGACCTGACTTGGTCTTATCCTTGGCCTTAACATGACTAACTCCTACCTGTGGTTTTGCTCCAAATTTAGGCAAAGAGGTAACTTTTGATCCTGCTTTTATTTTTAAACCTGGCTTAGGCATACTCCTAAATGCTTTAGAATTGCATGACCTCAGAGATCGCATTTCATTAGACTGGCCTTTAGGAGATGAACTCTCTTTTAAATTCAGCAAAGCAAAATTTATGATCTTACTGAGGGCCATCTGGACCAATTCTTCACTCACACGCAATGGAGAATATTGTAACCTGGCAAGTTCCAGTGGAGTGAGAGTTGTAAAACCTGTAGGAGGATAAACTGACTGGAGCATGCACTCAGGAGGAGCCCTCCTTTTCTCTGCTTTGTTCAGTCTCCTAAAGGGCGATGGAGTCATCGAGGGTTTGTCACTACCAGAAGCATCCAATTCTCCTCTGGTTCCTTGATTTTCATGCAAAGATACCGTAACTATCAAGAACATTTTTCCAAAAATGCTTTCAACTATGTCATTTGCAACACTGTTTATATGTGATTGCAGAGTCTTTTTCCACACAGAGGCTGATGTTTTAAATTTAGAATCAGATGTCAAGTAGGGGGGTTCATTAAAGGGAGGCAAATGGTCTACATCCTGTGATACTCTTTGATATACCTTTTTTAAGACTTTCTTAATTGAACTTAACAAAGCAGTTGGTTTTTCCTGTCCAGATTCTCCATTTCTCATAAATATCTCATCCAAAACCTTCCTCTGATTTTCTTTTTTTGATAGGTTTTGATCTACACATTTTAAAAAGAGAGACGGTTTAGTATTGTCTTCTATCTTGCCTTGACCTGGCAACATTTCATTTTGTATAGTTAGTTGTGTAAAGAGGTGAGGGTTCTGCTTTGAGTGAAAACTACTTTTCTTTAAAGATCTTTTATCATATAAATGCTTTAAGATATTGTTGACGGTGTCACTCACAATTATGTTTTCTTGAGACCACGTTTTGTTTGGATATGAATACATCTTTTGCATTTCTAGGTCTATGTCATTTTTAATAAGCATCAAAATGGTACTGGCAATTATGTCAGCACATTCTTTAAGAATACCATGTGATATATGAATCACAGGCCCATGTTTTTGCCTATAACTAGCTAATGTGTGGTCTGTGATCCCTTGACTGAGAATGGTTTCAGCTGTCGATATTTTCAGGATATTCACATCTGACGGCATTTGGTTTGATCCAGGAAATAGGCTATCGTCTTGTTGACAATTTGCAAATTTTGGGCTAACAAATGATTCTTCTCTAGTCTGAGAGTCCAAAGTTATTAGCATATCTATTCTTTCCATGACAAAAGACTTTAATCTATTAAAAATAGCTTTAGTAATGAAGTGAGCATTTTCTTCACATGGGTCAGAAGGGGATTTCTTCGTGTTTTGTTTCCTAAGTATATTAATCTGATCATCGTCAGAATAAGCTGATATTTGCTGTATACTTTTTCCTTTTCTTGCGAATAGAAAGTTCTCCCTATTCCTTTCATTAGTTGATTCCACAACAAAAGGTGGTTGACACTCTGCTTCTGGAAGTACATTAGAAAAAGTCGGAGGCAACCTTGCAGAAATAGAATCCTCTGCATTTATGCCAAGCATGACAGTGGATCTAAGACTATGAAGAACAATATTAACCATATCATTGGACATCGTTGTAACACAAGACTCAGGAACTAAAAACTTTGAAGTAGCCTTATTTGCACATTCAGTGACCATTTTAGAGTTTGGTCCTGAATCTATATTACACTGAAGAGTAGATGCAGTAAGGTGGAGATCATTCTCATCCAATGTTTTTTCACAAATGTCACTTAAGATGCCTTCAATTGTATCCAGTATTTGAAACGGAAGTTGTCTCTGATAATCAGTTTTATTGAACAGCTTTTCAGCAATACTTTCTGGCTGATTTAAATCAATCTCTTTGTTAGATATGTGGTTTTCATATTTTCCTTTAATAGATGTAATATCTAACATTGTGTCAACAATCTGACATGGGATACTTTCGGAAGCCACAACGTTATGAGTGAAGAATGGACTTTTTATTTGTTTACCCAACTTATGTTTGATTCCTTGTAAAACTTGTCTAGCCACTTTTGTTGCATATGTATTTAATTTGGAGACAGTCATCTGACATACTGAGATGGTCTTTCCTGACTTACTATGATCCACTATGTAACAGGATATTTGATCACTAGAATATGACTCTTTGGTTGATAACCATGGTTGGCTTAATATAGTCTCATTCTGATGCATTGATAAAGCCATTGGAACTGTGACATTAAAATGAGGACAAAAGAGAGATTTTACTTTGGAAGTAGCAAATATTTCTAAATTTGTTAATACTGACTGTATAATATCTTCAACTACATTTACTTTGGTCAGTTTATCAACAGTGAGTCTGGACTGAAATGTACATGGATTTCTGTCCAGTATGGCTGAACATATTGTGGCCTTTCCTCCACTGGTGTGTTCGAGAAAAGAGCTAGATCTATTTTCATTTGCATTCCTCTCTGTCATGGCAACTGAATAAAGTTTTTGAAAGATGGTTCGGATGACACCACCTGTAACAATGATTACATCAGCTTCAGACACTAGGGAAGCCGTTCTTTTACTCGGGAATTGAACAGATGCTTGAGCAACCATCTCATCACCAGCATGAGGGATGTCATATGAATGGGGCCATGGGAGAGGAAGCACATTAAAATGATCAAGTAAATCATTCTCAAATATTTCATTCAAAATATTTCTTATAATGGGCACGACTGGGGATTTTTGTGGCTCTTTGAGTTCTACTTCAATTTTTTTAAAGGTCATTTCGAGTTCCAATTGCTTAGATGAATCTGATTTAGTTTCTTCTTCGGGTGGTCTTTTTTCTCCGGGACATTCTTTCTCTGTCTGCACAGGATCTTCTAGATTTGACTCTGGTTCAGTTCCTCCAGGAAGAAAATTTCCATAGGTTGGCCTGTATCTATAATTTTCAGTGCTTCTCGCTTCAAGTTCAGTTTCACTAAACATATCTGGGGGCATGGCATCTAAAATTAAATTGACTAGATTCTTCAGCATTTGTTTATTTGGCAGTAGGTTGTTCACACATGTCCCCACACCTGGCAGGCTCACATTTAATTCTGTTTGAATAGATTTCAAAATAGCACTTGATACTTTTTTGGCATTCACGTGTAATGCAGACTGCACTTGTTCTTCGTCGAGTGCACAAATGTCAGCACAAACGTTGGTACTTCCACTTTCCCAGTCCATCTTACTGCTCTTTTCCTTTCCATTGATCAGAATGCTTAGAATTTCTAAATTTTTATTGGCAAACCCTTGCAGTTTGGCAAAAACCATTTTAAGGATATCAGAAACCAGGACTTTCAGTTTATTTGGATGGCTTTCTTTTGTGCTTCCTATTTTGGGAGCAGCAGTTTTTGCTTGACTGTCTTTCTTGATCACACTGGACACCATGCTGGAGATTATGTCAGTGCATTTAGTCATTTCCTCCATAAGGGAAGCAAATGACAGGCTGTCAGTGTTGAGATACTCTAAGATAGTTTTAAAGTCAGAGTTGGAGAAGCTGCTATCCATCTCTACACTACATAATTTTGTAACAATATCTTCTAGAAGTTTATTAGAAATGAACTGAATATTTGATTGCAACACAGTGGTTGTTCTCAGTTTCTCACTGGTGCACTTTCTGTTTTGCTCATTATCAGATGTGGGAAAGCATGGATGGTTTCCTATGAGTTTGTATAACATGTCATGCAAAGTATCCTCAATTCTATTTAACACTTGAAATCTAGCATTCTTTTCCAAGTCCTTTTTATTAAAGGCACAACTGTAAGTATGTGGAGCAGCTAAACATGTGTGAGTTTCAGAGGGAGCTGCCTCTTGCATAGGAAGACAGTGAGAGGGTGAATTGTTTTCTTCATCAGCGATGGCAGTTTCATATGAAATGTTTACCTTTAGATTATCTGAAGGGAGTGGAACATTACTTTCATCTGTAGTTCCACTTAGCATTTCACAAATACAAATTACTAAGGAACTTGTCATAATGTCGTTATTGAGATTTGTGACAACAGAGTCTAATTCCTTTTCGGTGTTGGCAAAAAATCCTGTCTCCGTAAAGCTCGTAGGAGGGCTACTCTCCCTAAGATTTAGCTTTTTCTTATTACGTTCCAGTTCATCATGGATAGCACCCAAAACAATGCTTACCACCTTAGTTGTGTAAGCACCAAGCTGCAATTGAAATGCAGATTTCGTGGCCAGTAGGTGGCAACTTGCTGGCTTTGAACTAGCAGCATGGTCTTCTGGTTTGAAGCACTTTTGCAGTTTTGGAGAAATAAATGACTTCAGCCTTTTAAAAACTGCATCAATGATCTTATCATTAATTTCAACTACAGTTTCAGGTGTTGACTGCATTTCCCCAGATTCTAACCAGAAAGGCTTTGTGTAGTCTATGCTCAGTGAAGATAAAAATTTCATTTTATTTGCACTTTGAAACCATATTTTTAATGGGTCTTTGTTCAGCATGTCAGCATCATTCAGAGACTCTTGATCCATCAACGAAGAAGACATGGCATCTTTAGTGGCATCAACAGCATGACTTAAAGTCATATGAAGTATTTTTAACACAGTATCTGCTACTTCCTGAGCCACTGAATGTATTTCTGATACAGAGAACATTTGGTCCTTCCATTCTTGATGTGACAGACTTTGTGGTTTTCTTGAGTTAAGGGAAACTTCTTTACCATCTTTATTGTCTAAGTATACAGAGGATCCAGAAGCTGTGTCTTTGAGCATTTCTGCTAAAATACTTGTAATTATGTTTTCTGATGTTTTTTGTATTTGATGTGTTTCATCTTTGTTTAAAATCAAAACATGTTGATTCAAACAGTGCTTTTCCTTAAAAAGGTCCTCATTATTATGGTCAGTCTTTAATCTCCTGTCACGAAATGCTATTCTGCTACGACAAGCAGTCTTTGTAGGTGACTTGATGTTTCTTTCATGTTTTAAACCAGCATTTCTCCGTGTTAACAAGTTATCAGGAACTTGTAAGTTTTCTTCTTCATCTTTAATAGATGACATGAGCACACTTCCCACACTTTTGTCTACTTCTTCATTTTCATCTTCAGAATAAAGGACCATGCCAGGAACATTAATAGGTGGGAATGGTCTTCTTGACCTAGGACCATTAGCTGCCCTAGTGCCCATGAGTCCCTTCTTTTCTTCAGTGCCAGAAGGACTTCTCAGTCTGGGGCGTCTGCCCTTTCGGATATTTGCTTTACTTGGCCCTCGAGGTAGCTGAGGTAAGATATCATCCAGTAGCCTATGGATAATCACTGTTTCTTCAGTTGCAATAAGGCTTTCGTTATCAAGTCCAATTTGTATGTAACCTAGTATAGCTCTGACTGCATCTTCAATATAAGCAACCAGAGAGGACTGGGAAAAAATGTTCAACACTAAATTTCGTATTTCTTCTGCATACATTAAATTAGCTGTATCCGGTCGTTCATGTTGAGGAGATACAAGAACCATCAGCTTCTCTAAAATCACATGCACTATATCCTCTGTAATGCCAGTCATGCTTTCCAAACGATAAGGCAGTGGTGCTTTTAAAGGTTCCTCTCCTTGTGAAATCAATTGTTCTTCGCTGATTGGTAAATCTGGTTTAAACCAGGCTGCCAAATCTTCCTGTGAAAATATCTCAATACATTTTTTCTCAACTGCAAATTGAAGCTTCTCAAGTAGGATTTCCACGATTTCAGCCGCTGCTGAGGAGATATCTGAACTAGAGCACGTGTCTCCCTGGTCAGCCTTCATCTGGTCTAGTAAGGCTTCAGTCGCAACAGAAGAAAGGTAAGGGATGGCCTGGGTTAAATCAGATACCATTTCTTGGAAAACACTTTCTAAAATCAACTCAGTTTCCTCTTGTAGGTGACATTTAAAGTTAACAAAAACATTCTTTATCTTTGTCATCTCATTTATGGCTTTTGCTTGTCCATCCGAAGACAGTGGATGTCCGGCTTCTGCTTGTCCGTCTGAAGACGGTGGATGTCCGGCTTCTGCTTGTCCGTCTGAAGACGGTGGATGTCCGGCTTCTGCTTGTC